AGAGCTCCTTGGTAGAACTTTAAATTGTCCTTCAGTGTCATTCAGGGAAACATGTAACATCTGTTTTTTTTCCTAGAAATGCTACTGGATTGGAGAACATTTGCAAACACCTGAAATATGTTTCCCCATGTTTTTCTTTAATATTTCTATAGATATCAGAAATTCTCACAGTTTCTGTGAAGTTGTTTTCTGAACAAACATTATTTATGCCTGTGTCTTGAGTAGTGTCAATCTGAATTGAAAATGTGTCAGATTTTTAACATCCTCTAATTCTACTTTTTAAATCTTGAGGAATCCCTTAAAAGAGGTTGGGTCATAACAAAATTCATTGCAGAACAAAGTAACTAATAAGAACCTGAGGTTTTGGAATAGATAGAGAACACAGTCCCCTCAGGACAAACAGCTACCATCGTCATTAGGTTGGCTGTCTCTCTTTGATGGATGTCATCAAGACTACACTTGTTGACCACTGATATTTCTTCACAGTAGGTAGACATAGGAGAGTCCTTAGAATGCCAGCTGAAGCTCCAGCTATGCATCTCAACCACTTGTAGTTTAGCAGGCCTAATTGCATATAACACTCTCTAAACTGTTAATTAGGTCATTGCATTTTAAATTATTTAATTCTCACAAATTCAATCTTTTTTAATGAGTATATCAAAACTGACTTCTATGAACGTATTTATGTCCTCAAATTGCTTTTGTTTTTCCTTTTTTTAAACTTAAATTGGAAACAAGATTCTCTTACATGCAAATCCCAGTTCCCTCTCCCTCTGCCCCTCTGCTGCCCCACACAAACCCCCTATCCCATCCTCTGTCTGTTCCCCAAGGAGCATGAGGCCTTCCATGGGGGATCTTCAAAGTCTGTCATATCATTTGGAGTAGGGCCTAGACCCTCCTCCGTGTGTCTAGGCTGAGAGAGTATACTTCTATGTGAATTGTGTTCTCAAAGTCCATTTGTGTACTATGCATAAAAACTGATGCACTACCAGAGGCCCCTTAGACTGCCCAGCCCTCCTAACTGACACCCATGTTCAGGGGGTCTGGAGTGGTCCTATGCTGGTTTCCCAGCTGTCAGTCTGGGGTCCATGTGGAACCACTTGTTTAGGTCAGCTGTTTCTGTGGGTTTCACCAGCTCGGTCTTGACCCCTTTGCTCATCACTCCTCCCTCTCTGCAACTGGATTCCAGAGTTTAGCTCAGTGTTTAGCTGTGGGACTCTGCTTCTGCTTTGATCAAATACTGAATGATGGCTTTAGAATGACATTTAGGGTAGCCTCTCCACTAATGCTTACATTGTTAGTTGGGGTCATTCTTATAGATCTCTGGACATTTCCCTAGTGCCAGATTTCTCTTTAAACCTATAATGGCTCCCTCTATGACAGTATCTGTTTTCTTGCTCTCCCCTCTTCTTCCCCTAACTTGATCTTCCTTCTCCCTCATGTCCTCTTCTCCCCTTCTGTTTCTTCTAACTCCCTCTCCCCTCCCACCCATTCTCCCAATTAGCTTAGCTGATCTTGTCCCTTTCTCCTTCTCCAGGAACCATGTATGTCTCTCTTTGGATCCTCCTTGTTTCCTATCTTCTCTGGTGGTGTGAATTGTAGGCTTGTACTCCTTTTTTCTATGTCTAATAGCCATATATGGGTGAGTGCATACCATTTTTGTCTATTTGTGACTGGGTTACCTTAGTCAGGATGGTTTCTTCTAGTTTCATCCATTTGTCTGTGAATTTCAAGATTCCATTTTTTTCTGCTGAGTAGTACTCCATTGTGAAATTATACCACATTTTCTTCATCCATTCTTCAGTTGAGAGTCATCTAGGTTGCTCCAGCTAGTAAAATATGTGGGCTCCAAATAAGTAAAGGTAGAGTCATTCAGGATTCTCTGGACCTCTTTGGAGGCTTGAGGATTTGCACCAGCAACAGTCTCCCAGAGAATGCTGGAGGCACTGGTCCAGGAAACATGAATCATGACTTACAGGGATCAGAGATGACTCATCAGGGGTGATGACTTGCTCCTCCTCCATTAGACCGGGCTTTGATTTCCAGGACCCACACTGTGGCTCACAATTTCATGAAACTCCAGTACAAGGGGATCCAACATCTTCTTTTGTTCTCTGCAAGCACCAGACACACATATGATTCACAGATATGTATGGAGGCAATATACCATTACACAAAAACTACAAAGGAATTACTGAACTATAATTCAGAACTGTGTGCCCATCAGACAAATATGCCCAGGAAATAATGACATTGAACATAATAGAAATAAACTCTATTTGCCTGAATACATGATCTCATTATGGTTTGATTCTGGACTTTATCTCCATGTCTAATAAATTGACTGTCCCATGGAATCAAAGGCATTGATATTTTTTGATAACTACTATCATATTTTCTACTACTGCTTTCTAGTTCTGTCTGAAACTCCATAATGAGTTGCCTGTGTTCCACAGTTGAGAGTACAGAAGTTGCTACCACTTGGACACAACAAACCTATCAAAACACATTTTATTTTATGCATTTGTGAATTTTTTGTTTTAAAAGGAAAATTCTGGACTGAAGATGTGGCAGTCACTAAAATCACTTCTGCACAAACATAAGTATTGCAGCACCCATGGAGCAAGCCATGAATCCCACAGATACTGGAAACTTCATCTCCAATAGATCCTTCACCTTTTCATGCCTATGTACACACAAGGGAACACACAATAATAGTGTCTATAGACACAGAGACATATAAATAGGTAAAAAATGAAAATTCAAAAATTCTGTATTTTTAAATATCCAAGCACTCTCCAAGAAGGGTCATGCTAGTCAATGGAGAGGGATGTGATACAATTTTATGACATTAGTTAGTGTTCTACTCAGAGGAAAACTGTCTGGTTCTTCCATAGTGTGTTGCCATCTCCTGTGGACATTATGTAGAAGAACTAGAACACACAAGCACATGCACATATACTTGTGCAATACACATACACATGGACATGCCGGCATACGGCATATTTATTTCAGGAATTCTGTTTCTTAGATTAAATGTTACTGTTGTTTGCCAGTACAGAAACCCGGTTTTGCTTTTGAGAAATCTCAGACTATAATGGAAAGAATATTGCAATTCATTTGTGTTAAATTGTTTTTGAAGTGACATTATTGATCCCACCTAAACTTATGAAGAGCTGCCATGTGTCTCATAGAATACAGTATAAACTGTAAAATAATACAGTTCATGCTCAAAGAAGTTCATACATAGGGTTTATGAAACATATATAATTACTATCAATCCAAACCAGCAATATACCTAGATTTCTCCTGCTAATAAGACAATTCTTGATCCAAGGGATTCAGTGAGGGGATGGTAGCTTAGATCCCAAGAGAACAAGCCATATTTAAAATGCCGAACAGAATTGCAAAAAGACACCAATCAAAGAACCCCTGTAGAGTTGCAGAGGAGGAGAATCTGGCCTGTGACTCAGGTTAGCAAGGAAAAAATGAGACAGAAAAACAAATATCATCTGTTGTGAGATAATGAATAAAGGAGTTATATAACTACAGTAGAAGTCAGTTTTTATTATTTGCACTGTACACAAGTCCAAGAGGCTCAACCTGTTCTGAACACATTTTAATTATCAGATGCTTTTAACTTGTGACCTTATCTCTGTACAATGGCAGTGTCTAACAGATACCAGACTTTGTTGTATTCTTATTTGAATAGAAAATCCAAGTCAAAGTAAAATTTATATTCTGTCATTCCATTTCTTTAGAAAGCTTTTTAGAACCTTTGTAGTGTGTCTAAAAACTTACATGATACCAAAATATAACTGTCTCCTGTGAAGGCATGGCTCTTTTCTCGTCTGATCAGGTATATCTTTTATAATGTAACATTTGAAATAGAGCTATTTGAGCATGTGTGAGCTTTTCTTCTTGGACTTTCTATTTGCCGAGTGATTTCTTTCCTCATTTAGATTAAATGTATATTGTCTGGTTGACAAACCAAATGACTCAGGAAGGCATCTTCTTTGATTACTATGTAAAGATGGATAAAGACAAATGACTCACATACTCATGTGTTTCTTAGATGATAAATGTCAAAGCCCTGTTTTTGCTTCTTCCTCTCTGCGCTAAGATGAAAATGACCACTAACTTTCTCCACCCAGAATTAACTTGGCAAATAGTTCCTTAGGGGTAATCACAGTTATGAATTACACACCCAGAAAAACTTGAATGTATTTGTCTAAGGCCTGTAAGTGCAATTACTTGACTAGTATTATTTTATTATTTTTTCATGGTATTTATATTTATAATTTAGTGGTTATTTGTATAAAGCAAAGAAAATCAATGGTGATATTTAATCTCGTCAGCAACTCTGATTTTGTTATGTATATCATTAACATTCTAAACATCTATTACATCAAATGTAAATGGGCTTCATTATTTCTATTCTGAATTGGCTGTAATTTCCATTTCTCTTTGTATTTTCTGTCTGCAGAAAATTGGATGGATATTATATACCTATGTACTCTCTTACCTTTATGTTAAGTTTCCTAAAATTTAAATTACACCTGTCTGATTTTTTAAAAACCTTTTTAAGTGTTAAGATCCATAGGAAGACACTGGACCAATGGGCCTGTTGGTAATCACTCAGTCAGCCGATACATGCTTCTCTTTGCTTTATTATGTCAGTTTGATATGGTATATTTTACTTCTGCTGTCTATGGCAATGTCTACAGCAATGACCTGTGCTTTGTTCCCTCTCATTTGTGGCCTTTGAGAGGGCCACCAAATAGCAATTAGCTTGTAATCCCTCAATTGTGGTAAGAATGGATTAGGTGTTAGCCTTTCACTGTTATCCCAGCACTAATTTTTAGAGGGTGGGGCTCATTCTGTGAGGTTTTCTCAGATCCTGCCAATCATTGTCAGGAGCTTTTAAATAGAAACACTTTTCAACACTTCAGAAGCTCTTGAAAAAAAGACTTGCACATTTTCTTTTGTTGTCTCCTTAGGATTCTCACTGCTAATGACTACTGCCAAGATGTATAAATGGAATGGTTCAGTCAGGAGAAGAATCTGAAGTTTAAAATGCCTCTTCCTCTATGACAACTTTTCTTTGATTTCATGATTGAGTTGGGACAGAAACTGCATGTGGGAAAACTGATCCTTCAACCAGTGCAGATGAGCACAGTGAGCAGCTGGCTTCTTTGAATCCTTTATCTTCAAATCCAGAAACCTCGATTATTTGGGAAAAAGAGTTAAAACTGATGAAACTGAATATTAAACTCTGGAGTTCTTAAAGTTAGATGTTTTGTCTTTATAGTGTATGGATATGTTAATGAAACAACTTCAGTTTTGTAATTTGCAAAGAGCTGAAGTTATTGATGTCAATAGTTGCAAAGGGGATAGTAATCCCTGTTCATATGGCAGGGGTTTGTCTTGGGAAACCCTTTAAATCACAGAAGAAAGTACAGTTAGTTCCATGAGAAATGGATGTAATGACGCTATGATTCCTAGTTTCTTTATCTCATGGGATTTTTATTGGATTTCAGAGCATGAAGTCTACTTAACAAAGTGTTTTATTTCAATGTGTATATAAATACATATAAAGTTTGCATTTTCATTGTATGCAATTGGTTTTTTAGAAATACTTAGTAGATAACTCATTGAGGAGAAGAAGTACTGTATACTTCAAATTCTAAACTATGACAGCTACTTTCAGGGGTACAACAGTGTCATTTATTTCTAGAGGAGCTTTTGGGATGCAGGTCAAGGCAAAAATAAACTGAAAGTCACAGACACACTTGGGCAGTAAATGTTCCATGATCAGATTCAAGATAATAAAAGGAGGTGTTACTTTGTCTAAAGAAATCCAGAGAATGAATGAGTCACCCTAAGGATTGGTTTTATATCTTTATTGATATCAATAGTATGTGACTGTCTTTACAAAAGTTGTCCTATATGCAGAAACCAAGATGGGCACTGGAGTCTTTCTGGAATCTTGCTTGAATCAATTGAATAAAATATTCATGAAGATGCATTTTGTGTGATGCTCCTGTTTGGGCTGAATTGAGTTGAGGCTGTGCAGTCTTGTATTGGCAGAGGAACTGAGCAATCAATAGCGGGAAGCTTTGGCGCACCGACATCCAGACCCTAATTATTCAGGACTCCCAGGTATAACTTACTTAAGATTAGGTATTGCATGATGATGTAGCATTGATCAGTAGGTGTATTAAGTCAACAAAATCATATGCATTATAGTGCTTCTAAAAAGAGGAGGACACTTAATGGTAAAGGTGAGGAGAAAGAAATAGAATGGACAGAAGCTAGATGTAACAGACTGGTCAGGCCATTTCTGTATAACAATTCATTTCAGTGATCTGATTTTTATAATTTTAATCTTTCCTACCCAATAACCTATAAATTAAAACCAATGTAGATAACCAACAGTATAATAAAAGCTGATTTTAATTAGTGCATATCAAAAATAATTTCAACTAATGAGATCATAAGAAGTTTTGATGAACAATTAATCTCTGACATGGACTTTAAAAGGTGAGCAGCACTGTCTGTGAGAAGATGTTGACAATATTTAGACAAAGGTATTATCAAAAGTTCTGGTTTCAAAGAGCCAGGGATTGATGAGCCACTGATTCTCCTAACGAGTATAACAAAGGTAGGAAAGGAAGAGGATTTACAATAGAAAAGGCAGGATGAATTAACAGTGAAGAAGATCTTAAGAAACAAAATGAAAATTTAGGGCTATGGGCAAATGGGAGAAAATGGATGTATTTTAAATCAAAATGGTATATTGACTTAAAAGTACCCATCCCAAGTATACACACGGACTTAGGACTCCCATAGAACAATGTGAGGTGCACTCTCACCCTGAACTCTTGGGGAAGGGTCTAGGCCCTGCCCTATATGAAATGACAGACTATGGACACCCCCATGGAGGGCCTCACCCTCCCTGGGGGAATGAGGGGATAATGGGGGGGGTTGGGGAGAGGGCACGGGAGGATGGGAGGGAAAGGGAGAGGGACCTGGAACTGACTTGTGAAGCATCCTTGTTTCTTATCTAAATTTAAACTGGAAAATAAAAAAAATAAAAAATAAAAAAATAAATAAATAAAAAATAAAAACTAAGAAAGTAAAAAAAATAATAGCAGGGTAAAAGAATGCATTGAGTATAAAACACTATGTGTAGGTAGGGAGATCCTTTCAGAAGACCTGTACAGGTCTAATAAGTTGCATTGTGACTTCGATGAAGGAGTCAACAGATATGCAGACAGTTTCCTAGACCTGAAATGCTGGTGGTCTTGACTCCACTGCAATTTTTATGCCACAGCTTAAAAAACAGAGTAGTGAGAACTGAAACACAACCCTTAGGTCTGTACATGGATGAGTGAGGAAATGAGACCAGTCCACACCAACAGAAAGATTAGGAGCAAGGATATATTGCTTAGATGGATACAGGTGTTTAGTGTGTTGACTTTGAAAGTACAATGCAGGGAGTCAGAGGGAGATACCCTGAAAGAAGTCGGAAATCTAGTATGAGAATAAACTTTTAGAAACTGATGGAAAATTTTAAAAGCTTATGGAGAATTCGTATATATCCAGATAACTAGATACAACTAAATGATACTTAAGTATTTTTGCAATGTTTTTGTCTATTATCTTTGAATACTTTTGTGTTTTTTGTAATAACTGTAAACCGGCTGAATGTTTGTTGTTGACTGTCGGTATAAGGACAGGGTTTTGGAAACTTTGGAAAGTGTAAATTTAATTCAGCAGAAAACTTTATTGTCCACATATCCTAGATTGTGAGGGTCTTCTTTCCCTCCAGGCCTGTTGACTACAAGGCAGAGAGGATAAAGAGGCAGATGCAATGACAGAAGGCTTTGGTGGCCCATGAGCATGAAAGAGAGACAGATTTCAATGAATCAGCTCAATTTTATTTCAGAGTACAAGGAATATGTACAATTGAGGAACCTGGGGACAAACCCTAGTTTGCATTAAGTGGCACACTCCTATCATAAGACTTAGTGTGTAGAAGCAGAGTCCTATAGCAGAGTCCCTAACAATTGTCTTCTCAGCAGGGACCTAAAGATCAAGTTAAAGATGAATCAGGCATCTGATTTAGACAGCTTTCAGACAAGGTCAGTCCTCCAGGCCCAGGGACATTCTCCAGGTAAGAGCAAGCAGCGAAAAGGAAACTTTGCTCAATAGAGATAGCTCCATGTTGACAAGGTATTTAGATAAGGTGGTAGGCTACCGGGACGCTGTGACTTCTGACCAACCAGCAGTGTCGCCCAACACTAGTTAGGTTTACTATTGCTATGATGAAACACCATGACCCAAATCTGCTTTGGGAGAAAGGGAACTTATTCAGTTTATACATTCACATCACTGTTCATTATTGAAGGAAGTCATGGTAGAAGTCGAGCCAGGAAAGATCCTGGAGACAGGAGCTGACCCGGAGGCCATGGAAGAGTCTTTCTTACTGGCTTGCTCCACATGGCTTGTTCAGCTTGCTTTCTTACAGAACCCAGGAATGCTTGCCTGATAGGGGCCCCCAATACACAATGGACTGGGCCCTTCCACATCAATCACAAATTAAGAAAATGCCAAATCTTATAGATACATTTTCTCAGTTGAAGCTCTCTCATCTCTAACAAGTCTAGCTTGTGTCAAATTGACATAAACTATCCAGTATACCACCTAAGAGCCAAAATCCCAAAGTCCCTAGCAGAGAACAACATGTAGATCAGAGTGCAGAAGGCTAGGGCTAGAGGAACTATTGTTCAAGGAAAGGACAGTCCTGATTAGTTGCATGAAACATATACCCTTGGCTGAAAGTAGAAGGAACTTGTGGTTTTGAAGTACTTTGCAGAAAACTGAAGACACCTTTCAGTTGACAAAACATAGGCGTGGGCTCATGATTACTCCAGAGTGATGTTCTTCATGTCTTCATAAGACACACGCTATTGATTTCTATATAAAACCCTAAATATACCTCTTACGCACCAGCAACCATCTGATTGTAGCTAAGGCCAATAGCAGTGGCAAATTTGTCAAAATAACTGATAGTGATGGTAGTGGAAATCATAGACAACTGAATTAGTATAGGTTAGTCCATGCTATAATAGCAAACATACCTTGTAACCCTAGTATTAGCTCAGTAGAGAGACCCTGGATTATTGTCTTCTGTGCCTTAACTACCAAGGAAATCAGAAAATAGGAGAAGAGCTTTTGGGAGATGTCTCTATGTTAAACCATCTTAGTTTAGAAATGATTCACATTCCCCTTCTCATGGCCTTGAAAAGCCACAACTTGTCACAAAGTCCTAATCTAACTGTAATGCAGGCTGGGAAGTATAGGTTTCCATGTGGATATTTGATAATAATCTATTTGTATGATACTCTTACTATCCATTTTCAAAATTACCTTGACTTCAGTTACCCATAGAAACAAACTGATTCTTTAGCTGGGGAGGAAAGTCTAAATGTTGTTCAACTCTGAATTGTTCAACTCATCCAATCCAGGGATGTAAGTATGTATGGGAATCCTGGGCTCAAGAAAGCCTCTGAATCAGGTCCAAGTGTGTCTCCTTTTATTCCAGCATCCTATGAACTTGAAAGACAAGCTTTATCTGCCCTTCACCCCAAACAAACAATGGGACACTCTAATTAGAAAGGGAAAGCACTAGAAATAGCCCATAGTCCTTGGTTAAGAGCAAATTTGAGGGATAAATAGTGGACAGGGACAGGGTGGGAGCTTCCTTAATTAGGCCATGACTCTGCTTGATTCCTCCGCCTGTTATTCTCAATGATCCTATGTGAAGTGAACATCAAGGAATGTTTCTGCTTTAACTGTAGCACCTTGTCTCAACTCAGTTCCTGCTCTTGCAAGTCTGGTATCCAGAGAGTTGTTTAGAGTATTGAGCAGATGTGAAGGTTTGCAATCAGTCATTCTTTTTTTGGCAATGCAGTGACTTTACAAACTTAATAGGTTTCCAATCTATAGACTTCCCGTAAATTTCATGACCCACCCAAAAATAAATTCTTTTTTAGTCACTGCCCACGAATGGCTTGAGTATCTTTGTTTGTCATCTCATTTTCTCTTTAAATTTTACGCATTTTTTTCTTAGTGGTTATCTTGAGGCTGTTACACTTAATAGGTAAGTGTGATTCATAATTTGACATCTGCAACAAATAACTCTATCAACTTATGTGGGATATGGATTTTGGAAGAGGTAGTAGGAGTCATCTACATATTTTTGTTTTAATGCCCTGTGGGAGATAGTGGTGTTTAGATACATTTTTTTTTCACTTTTAGTAACCAGGAGAGAGGAGTAGGTATTGTTGGTATTAATGCTACTGGCATCTGTTAGATAGAGATAAGGATGCTACAGATCACAGTGCGTTAGGGAACACCACTCAACAAAATACTGTGTTGCTCCAAATGACAAGAATGTAAAGATTGAGAATTTTTTACATCTCCCAATACACAAGCAGGCTCCTGAAGCTTTTATCATCACAGAATTTTTCAAGAATTTTTAGAAAGAACAAAATAGGCCTTTACCAACTTAAGTTTTACTTAGGTCAGCTAGGAGTTAAACTTTTAGGAATAAAGCCATTATCCAGTAGCAGCTAAACATCTATTAGGAAACCAGATATTCTACATAGTTACATATATTCATATATTTCAGTTGTTTGGTGTGAATCTGTGATATATACCATTGAAACACTTCAGGGGTCATGACAGGTATCTAATGAGATTTAAGATTAAATTTCTCCCAATGTTTTGGTCCATAAGTGTTATTTCTTCAGTATGTTAATATGTGCTTAACTTCCAGAGTAAAGGTAAGAAGTCAAAGAGCTTGCCTAATAGCTCACTCAAGGAGGAGAAACTGGGTAATGAAACGCTGGAAATAAACTAACCTCGCACATGCAGCCATGATCAAAGACAAAAACGAACCAAAAGTTGACATCATTTCCAGGAAAAAAAAATATTGCGGTGGTATGCGTGGCTTAAG